GATCCGTACTTGCCATTCTCGTGCACCTGGCGGACGTCCTCCCAGTACTGCTTGTAGTCGAGGGGCTTCTCCTGGGTGGCGTTCGAGGCCGGATGGACGGACTTGGGACGGTGAGGGTCGTTCTCGGGGTCCTCGCGAGGCGGGTCGGCCTTGACCGGGTCGGCGATGTAGAAGGTATCTTGAAGGTCACGGGCGGGGTGTTGCTGGGGGACGAAGAGGGCGTCGAAGTTCCAGAAGCCCGTCTCGACGAAACGGTTGGTAGGCATCTCCTCGAAACCCATCTCAAAGAAGATGTTGCGGAATTCCTGGCGCACCTTGTTCAGGGGGTGGAAAGCACCAGCGGGCGTGGGGGCACCCTTAGCCTTGAAGTTGTAGGGCTTCAGCTGGGCCGTCTTCCAGGAGCCGTTCATGAGCATCTCCGCGGTCAGGTCGGTCTCCTCCTTGACGAATTCGCGCGCGAACTTGGGGCCCTTGGAGATCTTGAAGGAAATGACCTTCTGCAGGGCGACCAGCTTGCGCCGCTTCAAATCTGTGAGGGCCTTCTGGTCATTCAGAGTCTGAGTGTTCTTGACCGTCAGCAACAACTCGCGGGTCTCGTCCACGATGGTGTCGGTCGTCGCCCGCAGAAGATCCTTGTCCTTCTTGATCCAGCCCTTCTTGAAAGCATTGCCCTGACCGATCTTGGCGTTGTCCTTTCCAACGACTCCGGGCAAGTCGCCGATCTTCAATCCGTCCATAGCAGCCAACACGGCCTGGAACACCTTGGCTTCGTGACTGCCATTCGTGGCGATTTCTTCACCTTCGGGGGTCAAGGCAGCAACCTCTTTGTCGAAGGTCTCATACTCGACCATCTGTCGGGAGGCTAGACGGTCGAGGGCGGCCTTGACATTTAGTGAGGGGGTGGAGGGGAAGGCTTCGCTGGAGAGGATGGAGGCGTCGGACGCGGACAGGGCGTCCAGGATGGGGCTCGTCATATCGGTCGCCATGATTGCGAGTCGTGAACCCCGAGGCACGGATCAAAGGGGCGTGAAAGGGTGCTGAGAAGACCGACTGTGCGATTGGGGACTTCAATCAGATACTTGCCCACTTTCCGAAATTGTGACTCTTTCGGGCACCTCGTCGATTACGGCCGGCGCCAAAGACCAGCTGTGCCGTCCCGTGACCGGCCGGTGATTTTTACCCCGCCATCCGTTTGGCTCCTTTTCTCTTACTGATAGTTTTGAGTTGGAGTATAGACTAAAAGACTAAATATCGACATGTGTCGTGACTCTTCAGATCGTTTCCTCCGCAGTATGTATGCATGCAGCTGTGTATGTATCCTGGACGATCTCAAAATGAGGAGTCACCAGTATATGTCTATTTTGCCAATGCAATACCTCATGGTCTTTGCTGCTTAATTCCTGGCCACACACACCCCGGGGACCGGTTCTGCAGCTGAGCAAAAGATGTTCGCATGATCGTGCTTGAAGATCAAGCGATCAGATCAACTGCACCCACTGATGTGGTAGTGTCGCTAGTAACACTCAGTTGCCTCCCGATATGCATTGGGAGGAGGGGGAATAATAGTAAGAAGTGCGTGACAGAAACAGGAAAATGCAGCAGTCCGTGCAATGTAAATATAGCACGGGAGGACTTCCTGATACCGCTGGTGGTACTATCTCAGATCAAAGGCCGAAACCTGAAGAATATATACTAGTACTGTACCAGCGGCTTATTCATTTGCTACGATACTCACGCTGGATCTTAGGGCGAGCAATGCATTTACTTACTCTGGATTATTACTCCCAACCATGCCAATGATTACGGATGGTTTCATACGTGCACCCTGCCCAAGTAGTTGTATAGTGGCTATGCCTCTGCTGTTCGACGAGCTGCAGCCTGCCACAATTTGAGAAAGCAGCAAGTTTGAAGGCTATCTCATGCAGCCACAATATCCAGGATGGAGGAGTGTACTCCGCATCGACTATAACTCACCATGAAACACGAGCAAGAGCAAGGTTTAGAGATATCTACCTGGCTGACGGAAATTGCATCAGCGCTAGTGACCTTTTTCGTCTCCCGCGAGTCCCCAAGCGCAACGGCTCCGACCATAATCCGGGGACTCCGTAGCTAGGTGACCTGAACGAAGGTTTGTCTAATCCATGCAGCTTCGTTGCCATCGGTCGTGGTTGTTGGCAGATGGGTTAGATACCGCGCCTTTTTAGTCCGATAGCCTTGGCCATTTTAGCTCACCTAACAGTTAGGCGAGGCTTAAGGCGAGTTATGTCGCCCATTTGATTGCAAGTAATTGGTGGCCACGACTATTCCACGTACTCATTCAGCAGCACACCGATGTCACCTGGTCATGACCGGCCCGCGTTTCTGTGAAATCTTGCTTTGGAATGAAAACGGTTTCTGAGCGGGATCTCGAACAGTCGGTTTTTCCATGAAGTCATTCCTCAGAGCAAGCTTCAGCGATTTGGTACTTTGATGGTCCAGACGTGGCCCGAGACCGCCAATAGGTAGACCAAACTCTCAAGGATGTATGTACTAAGTACTATGTAAGCATGATAGGCCGCAACCTACCCCAGTCACCTGGTGAAGGAATTGCTAGCAACCCCCATGATGGATCAAGGTCTGATACATCTCGCATGATGCTGCTGGACAAGAACAGCAGCAGCCACTCGATGAGTAGAAATGACGATACATACATACAGGTTATCTGTATGTATGTATCGGGGATCCTTACAGTAACAACCTTGAACCTCGCATGAAAGTCCCAGACGGGCCTAGCTCGTGGGGCTAAAGAAGGCCCTCTAAATTTGGCTGGGTCTGATTGGCCATTCCGTGGAACAGATGGGTCTCGCACGCGACCGTTGGGTCTGGACTGGGCGCCGTCGACGCCTCGGGGATCTTGTCGATACACATTCCCCGTATGAAGATTACCTCACCCTTTCATTCTCGGGCCATTCTTCTTGGAATCTCCCTGGCACTGCCCGCCACAATGTGTATTCTCCCATACTTGAACCTCTCTTTCTTCGCTTTCACCCTTCTCTCTCCTCTTTTACCCCCCCCCACCATGACGCTGAGGACCGACGCCTCCGGTTCGGAGCGAAAGCCCGACTCAGGTCTCAAACCCGGATGGGAAATCTAAAATTCAGAGTTGACCGACGAACCTTGGTCTTGGGACCTTGCTACTTAGCATACTAGCATTTTAGGGGATCCGTAAGGTATCCGGCGACCCGGGAATTTTCCAGACTGAACTTATCCGATGAACGCGAGGGCTGATTCATGCAGTCAAATAGGCAGCAGCTCGGTAGTTAAAACCCAAATCCACAAAGGATCTTCACGCAAGGTCGACTATCCGGTTAGACAGTAGGACGGAATACGGAGTACCACTATTAACTTGCCTATACCGTGTGCCCTCGTTGTTCCTGAATAGACTTGGGGTTGGTTGATCTACTCCCTGATCATCCCCGATCAACGGTTAACGAGATTGATGGACCACTTCCCGTGGTATGGAAAGCGGCAGGTTTGTTTCCTGTTCCTGCACCTCCTTGTTCAGTAGTGTTCAGACCAGGGGGAGTGTGGAATTTTTGCTCGCCCTGTCAGCCTGTCATGGCTCTCCCGCGGGCTTTTCCCCTTCCCAAATCCAGCAGCCATGAAATTGTCGGGCGTGTGATAGGTAATCTTAACCGGGGCCGACTCAAGCCAGCTAACTTGCTGGAGCCACGGAAAATCGATCGCCACTAGTCTTGGAGCCGATCAGCTGCGTTCCAATCATGACACGCTGAGTATGGAGCATAGCGAAGAGGTCAACCATCAACACGCGCGCATGGCAGACTGACCGTAAAATTGGCGTATTTGGGCTGTCTCTCTTTCGATAACTTTCAGCAAGGTTGTGTATGAGTGTGGCTTTGCTTTTCTGGCGGAGCTAATTTTCTTTTATCTTCCCATTCAAAAGAACTATCGACTAGCGTTGATTGCCCCGACTTTTGGACCTTTGATGAAGAGAAAAGCGCAGCAAAAGTACAGCCGTACCTGCCTGACTACTTCGAGCCAAAAGCAGGGATGCCCGTGCGTCACAAGGCACCAAGCCTGCAGAGGGTTGTGGAATTTGTGGAGGTAGAACACAGAGTCGACGGTTTCTTTCCCGGAGGTTTCTTATGCCCACGCACCCACGTTTCAAAGGCGCACACACACACACACACCCAGGGCACACAGGATATTGAGGTGAGACACCCAAGGGACCACTTGCTATAATTATTCTCTTGAGACATGGTAGTCACTTTAGTGATTTCCTTTCTTGGTGATAGTGGCAGTTCGACAGGTAAATAAAAAAGCAAAGAACAAGTAAAAAAAGCCGTAGCCAAAATATCCACCTCGAACAAGCGCCTGTTGAATTTCGAGACCGGATCCAAAGAGTCCTATCATATCTCGGTGCGTACCTGCTAGCGCTTCTGTAGTGAGAAAAAGAGAGATGAGACCCAAGGTCGCACGCACATACATGCGAATATTGCAGGAAGGAAAACAAACAAAAAGAAAGGAAAAAAAAAAAAGTAAGCAAGAATCTGGATTTCTGTGACAGATAGATGAATAGATAGATAGAGCCGATCATCGATCACCGACCAGATAGATCCTTAATATTTTTCTTTTCTTTTCCTGACTTAACTTGCCGTATACATACAGTAGGAATTCTGCGGGGAAATAAACACCACACATAAAACGCGGCAGACAACAACGGACAGACAGAAAGACAGACAAGACAGGACGTGGCGGAATAGACGGCACCGAGGGACGGTTTCGGAGGGGAACCCAGGCACGCCTCGCTGAGAAGGTCGCTAAACTCTACCCAACTAGTGGTCCCTGGTGCCTGCCTGACCGGGTTAAGATCTAGTATGGTGTGTCTACCTATGAGTTTAGTTCGTTAGGAACCATGTATTTACCCAAGCAGGCAAAGTTCCGGTTGTGTTCAATAATGATGTTTCTGAAAAAGGTTCCTCAGGTATCTATCTAGTACTGGGCTGGATTTGCTGCCAGCTTTACCACGCCAGTCACTTAAGTAGGTAAAGTAGATTCTTTCCCGACTGAGCGATTCGCCATCGGCTTCTGCTTGGGAGTCGCCGCCTTAGGGCGATGGTTCTTCCTCTTGTGTGGGTTATTTAATTTTATTATATTTTATTTTCTTTTTGATTAGTACCTTTTATATATATAATCATTACTATTTTTTTTTTTCTTATTAAACGTATTGAATAAAAGCCAACAATTCTTACTACTACTTCTGTAAAAAAAATCAATCGGAAGTCAAAAGAGTATATCAAATTGAAATCTAATTGCTGGGGGTGGGAAGACAAGAATTAGCGACAGTGGGAAATAAGAACTACTAAATGGCCCAAAAGGTTTTAAAAAATAAGAGTAAAATCGAAAGAAAGACCCAAAGGAAAGGCAGGAAAAGGGAAGAGAGAGCCACCGATAGCAGAGGTTTAACTAGTGTACCTTGAAGTGTAAGTAGCAGCTACCAGCTCTCCAAGTAGCGACCAGCAGCCAGCCAGAAGGCCACAAACCGACTCTTGACTTTAACCAACAAAACCAGACCCAAACCAAAGCGAAGCCAAACCAAACCCATCCGACCATTCATTCAATCCTATTCCCTATTCTCCATCCATCCATCCATCCATTTCATCCCATCCCATCAAATCAGTCCAACCCCTCTCCTCCCCCCATCTCGTTGCTGCTGCTGTGCTCTCTCTCCCATCTCCTCCCGTCCACTGGAAGTTCGTTTTGTGCTTCATGCGAACATAATTATCCTCCCTTATCCTTAACACCCATTATTATTATTATTTTTATTATTATTTTATTATTTTATTTTTTTTTGCTCTATTACCCTGGTTGTTATTATTTGCTGCAGTTTAGACTTTCCTGGCTTTTCGCCTCTTTTCCCACCTCTCTTTCTCCCTCTCCCCCCCCTTCTTCCTCAGCAGCAGAGAGAGAAGAAGCATCGACACAAACAACCAAATCCTGCTTGCTTCTTCATTTCCCTTTCCTCACTTTCTCGTCTTCCTCTCACTCACACTCTCACACTCACTCTTTTTCACACTCACGCCCTCCCTTCGCCTTTCTCGCTGACTGATCGAATCCCTCCCTCCGCTCCAGTCCAACCCGAACTTTGCCCCCTTTCGGTGTCTCTTTCGTGTGCCCATCTAACTCCCCTTCTCTCTCACTCTCTCATTCTCTCTCTCCTCCCCGCCCGACCTTTCAGCTGCTCACGCTCTCTTGCTTCTTTGTCTGCAACTGTCCCCGTCCGCTTGAATCTTATCTGTCCGTCTGAGTTTCTTGGTCCTGTTCCCAAGGCCTTTCCCGACCACCAACAACCACAACTACTTCCCCCCCCCCCCCCCCCCCCCCTTGCCCACCACAAACCCACCGATCTTGAACCTCGTCGACCTCTCGCCCTCTCCACAAGACACCCCATGTCGTCCTAGCAGTGTCGCCCGATCATTCGTGTGTCAGTAACACGGCTTCCCGTCAGGTAAGCTAAATCACAACCTGCCGTTGACTACCATTCTTGTGCTTTCCCACTTTACTTCCGTTTTCCCTCCCTACTCTCCTCACCTCTCCTCTCCCCCCCATTTCCATCCGTCCATTTCGATTTTCATCGCCTTGCCCTTCTCCCTCCCCTGCGGTCCTTTTCCCTCCTCTTTCTTCCCTCGCCCCCTCAGCGTTCGACTCTTCCCGAGCCTCTCTCTCTCTTTTTCTTTTTTCTTTTTTTTATTTTTTATTCACTTTCTTTCTTTCTCTCTATCCTCCATCCAATCATTGCACACCATCTACATTTTTTCCCTCTTCATCCTTTTCTCATTCCTATTTATCTTCCATTGATTGCTTTCCCTTCATTCCCCTTCTGCGCCCTTTTTTATTTTGGCTCCGATTCTCGATAATTTTATTTTCCCATTTGGATCTTTCCAAAAATCTCTTGGGTTTTTCCTTGGAGTTCACCTTTTTCTCTTCCCTTTCATTTCCCCCCCTCTTTTGAGGTGTCTCCAAATCCCAATATTTTCGGAGTCGACTCCCGTCACCTCTCGATAAACTTTCGCCCTTCCTCCTGTCTCCCCTCCCCTCCCATCTCCATCTTATGTCCCTGATCCTACGCGCTTCCTAAATCCGATATTTCTCTTTTTTGAATTGCCACCATCTTTTCCCTTACCTCTTATCACCTTGAATACTTCTCACATTCGGTGTGGCAACTCTTAGACGCATCGGGGATCGAACAGAAATTTCTTCACGACCTGCATATGTACTTATGTCCGTTTTTAACTGAGACGTCCTAGGGCACAATGGCTGGCGCGGACGAAACGCTCGCGGCCGCTGCTGCCATTTTGAGAGGTCTTGCGAAAGAAACTCCTTCCTCCAGCGCTCCTCCCTTCGACTTCGAATTCTCCCATCCTCCCGCCAATGGCTACGACACAAAACTCGCAAAATTACCCGGGGAAACGAGTTCAGCAAAGGCGGCTTTTGAACAGGAGTTGGAAGCTTTGGTCCGACGAGTCCGTCATCTGGAATTCCAAAATGTCAGTCACCACCAGTCAACCCCCAAATCCTCCCAGTCTTCTCTCACTCCCGGCGAGAAGGACGCTGATTTCCTCTGGTCCTTTGGTCTCTCTCGTGTTTCGTCCCGTGACGGTTCTGACTCTTGCCTCTCACAGCATCAAAAGACAACACAACAACAACAACAACAACAACCCCATGGATCCAGACGATCGGCCATCGAACCGGAAGACCACGAAGTGGAGGAAGACATCGACGATGAGGAGAGTGACGAAGATGAGGAACTGAATTCAAGGACACGTTTGGTACGCGAGGAGGACATCAGCTACCTACGGAATCATGTTCAAAAACAAGCGGAGGAAATAAGTTTCCAGAAGGATATCATTGCTCAGGTCCGTGACGAATTACAACAACAGGAGGAGCAAACACGACGGGCTTTGACCAAGGTCGAAAACGAAGATGTGGTCTTGCTGGAGCGGGAGCTACGCAAGCACCAGCAGGCCAACGAAGCGTTCCAAAAGGCACTACGGGAAATCGGCGGCATCATTACCCAGGTCGCAAACGGTGACCTGTCCATGAAGGTGCAGATTCACCCGTTGGAGATGGACCCCGAAATTGCCACTTTCAAGCGTACGATCAACACCATGATGGACCAACTACAAGTCTTCGGTAGCGAGGTGTCGCGAGTCGCACGAGAGGTCGGAACAGAGGGCATACTCGGTGGTCAGGCTCAGATCACCGGGGTGCATGGTATCTGGAAGGAGTTGACGGAGAACGTCAACATAATGGCCAAGAATCTCACCGATCAGGTCCGTGAGATCGCTGCAGTCACGACAGCGGTCGCCCACGGTGACCTGAGCCAGAAGATTGAAAGTCGGGCCCAGGGTGAAATCTTGGAACTGCAACAGACTATCAACACCATGGTGGACCAACTAAGGACATTTGCAACGGAAGTCACCCGCGTCGCGCGTGATGTCGGTACGGAAGGTGTGCTTGGTGGACAGGCCCAAATTGAAGGGGTGCAAGGCATGTGGAACGAACTCACGGTGAATGTCAACGCCATGGCGAACAATCTTACGACGCAAGTGCGTGATATCGCCACGGTTACCAAGGCTGTGGCGAAGGGTGACTTGACGCAGAAGGTTCAGGCGAACTGCAAGGGAGAGATCGCAGAGTTGAAGAATATCATCAATTCCATGGTTGACCAACTAAGGCAGTTTGCACAAGAAGTCACCAAGATCGCCAAGGAGGTCGGTACGGATGGTGTCCTTGGTGGTCAAGCCACCGTCAACGATGTGGAGGGCACATGGAAGGATCTGACCGAAAACGTCAACCGTATGGCCAACAATCTGACCACCCAGGTCAGGGAGATCGCCGACGTGACCACCGCCGTCGCCAAGGGTGATTTGACAAAGAAGGTGACGGCTAATGTTCAAGGTGAAATACTGGACTTGAAGAGCACGATCAACGGCATGGTGGACCGGCTAAATACCTTTGCCTTTGAAGTCAGCAAGGTCGCGCGTGAAGTCGGCACGGATGGTACACTGGGTGGTCAAGCCAAGGTTGATAATGTGGAAGGAAAATGGAAGGATCTAACCGACAATGTGAACACCATGGCCCAGAATCTGACGTCCCAGGTGCGGAGTATATCGGACGTTACGCAAGCAATTGCAAAGGGTGACCTTAGCAAGAAGATCGAGGTCCATGCACAAGGAGAGATACTCACCCTGAAGGTCACCATCAACCACATGGTTGACCGACTAGCCAAATTCGCGACTGAACTGAAGAAGGTGGCGCGCGATGTTGGGGTTGATGGCAAGATGGGTGGTCAGGCTAACGTCGAAGGGATCGCTGGAACATGGAAGGAAATCACGGAGGACGTGAATACGATGGCCGAGAACCTGACGTCTCAGGTGCGCGCATTCGGTGAGATTACGGATGCCGCCACGGACGGTGATTTCACCAAGCTCATCACGGTCAACGCATCCGGCGAAATGGATGAGTTGAAGCGGAAGATCAACAAGATGGTTTCCAACCTCCGAGACAGTATCCAACGTAACACGGCCGCCAGGGAAGCTGCAGAATTGGCGAACCGCACCAAATCCGAGTTCCTCGCAAACATGAGTCACGAGATCCGGACGCCCATGAACGGTATCATTGGTATGACGCAGTTGACCTTGGACACGGATGATCTCAAGCCCTATACCCGAGAGATGTTGAATGTCGTGCACAACCTGGCCAACAGCTTGCTCACCATCATTGATGACATACTCGATATCTCCAAGATCGAAGCGAACCGTATGGTGATTGAGAGCATCCCGTTCACCGTGAGGGGAACCGTCTTCAACGCCCTGAAGACGTTAGCCGTCAAGGCCAACGAGAAGTTCCTGAGTTTGACGTACCAGGTGGACAACACCGTTCCTGACTATGTCATCGGTGATCCCTTCCGTCTGCGGCAGATTATCCTTAACCTTGTCGGCAATGCCATCAAGTTCACCGAGCATGGCGAAGTCAAACTTACTATCTGCAAATCCGACCGAGAGCAGTGCGCAGCAGACGAATATGCGTTTGAATTCTCCGTCTCGGATACAGGTATTGGTATTGAGGAAGACAAGCTAGATCTCATCTTCGACACCTTCCAGCAGGCGGACGGATCGACCACGCGGAGGTTTGGTGGAACTGGTCTTGGTCTGTCCATTTCCAAGCGCCTCGTGAACCTGATGGGTGGTGATGTCTGGGTCACTTCGGAATACGGCCATGGCAGTACCTTCCACTTCACTTGCGTTGTTAAACTGGCGGACCAGTCTTTGAGCGTCATCGCCTCGCAGCTGTTGCCGTACAAGAACCACCGTGTCCTCTTTATCGACAAGGGCGAGAATGGTGGCCAGGCCGAGAATGTGATGAAGATGCTCAAGCAAATCGACCTGGAACCGTTAGTGGTGCGGAACGAGGATCATGTCCCGCCGCCTGAGATTCAGGACCCGTCGGGCAAGGAGTCCGGCCATGCCTATGATGTGATAATCGTGGACTCGGTGGCCACTGCTCGGCTGCTGCGGACGTTCGATGACTTCAAGTACGTTCCTATTGTCTTGGTGTGCCCGCTGGTCTGCGTCAGCTTGAAGTCTGCCCTTGACCTCGGTATCAGCTCCTATATGACCACGCCATGCCAGCCAATTGATCTCGGTAACGGTATGCTGCCTGCTCTTGAAGGACGGTCTACGCCCATCACCACGGACCACTCCCGGTCGTTCGACATCCTTCTGGCGGAGGATAACGACGTCAATCAGAAGTTGGCTGTGAAGATACTTGAGAAACACAACCACAACGTTTCCGTCGTCAGTAACGGTCTCGAAGCCGTAGAAGCCGTAAAGCAACGGCGCTACGATGTCATTCTGATGGATGTTCAGATGCCAGTCATGGGTGGTTTCGAAGCCACAGGCAAGATCCGCGAGTATGAGAGGGAAAGTGGTCTCAGCCGGACACCGATCATCGCGCTAACTGCACACGCCATGCTGGGCGATCGAGAGAAGTGTATTCAAGCCCAGATGGATGAGTACTTGTCGAAACCCCTGAAGCAGAACCAGATGATGCAGACCATTCTCAAATGTGCTACATTAGGTGGTTCTCTTTTGGAGAAGAGCAAGGAGTCGCGAATCTCAAGTAGTGGTGAAATGCACCCGGTCCATCACAGTGGGCCTGATGGCAAGAGCCAACAGCGTCCGGGGTTGGAACCTCGATCCGTCACCGCAACCAGCACTATTAACCGTGGTGGTGGCCTCGCAAGCCCAAACGTTGACCGAGCGGATGAGCTTGCCGTCGAAAGGGTGAGTTTTACACCTGCACAATTGCGGAAAGAATCTTTGTCATACTAACGGGTTCTGCCAGGCACTGCTGCGGTCCAACAGCTCGTGAGACGCTCTCAAGATATCCTTTCGCTTGTTTTCCTTCAATCTTTCCGAATGGCTTCGATGCAAACCTTATACCCTATCTCTTTATGCGCCTGTAAGAAATGTTCTTTGGCCTGGCGACCTCTTCTTGGTACCCCATCTCGTTTTATCTCTCTCTCTCTGTTTCCCTGTCAGGGAAACACATCTTATGTCCCACCGCATACGCCTTCCGCTTTCGCTTCGTTTTCCCAGCTTCTCGGTCGATTTTCCTGCTTTTGCATACGTTTGTCGCTGGTAACATTGTCGACAGCCGAGCCATGGCATTTTCTATTTTCCTCTTTCTCTTCTTCCCTTTCTCATCTGCCTATACTATAGTGTGTTTTGATTTCGGTTGTTACTGTTTATGCCAGTAAACCTCTGGTGTAAGGTGTTTGGCGCAAGGAACCACAGGCGGGGTTTCTCCATATAAACCTGCGGCATGGAATGAAGACAAATACGGGCGAGTCAAGCAATGGTCAAGGGAGCCAGCATCCTTCTACTTTTGCTTGCGGAAATACTCTTGCATATGTTCCAGTTATTTTGCCCGGCAGCTATTCTTTTCTCTTCTTCTCATCTAAACTCGTTCCCCCTCTTCTAACGCATGCTTGTTGCGACCCGAGTCATCTTCTCCTTCCTATTTGTATTGTATTTAATCTTTTCACACTAGCAGATGAGCCCCTTGGTAGGGGATCAGGAAGACCTGAATCAGCCATAACTTTTCCTTTTCTTCTTCTTACTGCTTTCATGTTTACACACATTCGGATATTCGACTGTACGCAAGACTGTCGACGTATGACCGGCACTATTGTTGGAACACATCTCCCGTTATGGTAAGGATATTGGTCTAAGGAAGTCATATATTCTCATGGTATTTGTTAGAGCAAAAGTAAATAGGTAGCCAAGTAGGTAGAATCAGGCGCAATCTGAATCAATCTTCATCTATCTCAAGCAAGCACCTACGTATTCCCTTCCCGCACAGCATACTTAGGCCGAAAGAGCAGGGGAGAATGAATGAACGGAAAAAAAAAAAAATAGAGAAAGCAAAGCACAAGAATTAAGAAAAAGGAGAACAACACACACACACACACACACACACACACACACATACACACACACATACACACACACAGAGGAATTCCGATCAACCCAACACGAGATAATCCAAGATCGACCTTCCTACTACTACCTATACCTATCGAAAGAAAGGAAGAAAGAAAGAAGTCAAATCCAATCAAGAAAAGGAACTAGACAAGACTACCCAGCCAGCTATCTATCTACTTTATAAGATGGAAGATATATATATATCAACCAATCAAGCAGCAAAACACATTTTGAATTTATCTTAATTTCCAAACTTCAAGGTCAACTAAACAAGCAAATACTTTCACTCCCTTTCCCCCCGTCCCCATCTCCATCCCCTCGCCCCCCTCAAACCTAAACCTAAACCTAACTTCCACCCAAGCCAATAACATCAACATCCTTTTCATGTTTTTATGAGTTTGTATTCCGCTCAACGACCACCAGTAGGCTTAGGCTTAGGCTTCAGAGGCGGAACCTCAATAACCCCCGTCGCGTTTGCAGCGAATCCGCGCTTGGTCTTGAGCTTCTTTGTTGTTGTCGTTGTTGTTGTGGGTGTGGCTTCAGGCTTGGATTGGGTGGTAGATGTGGAAGTAGAGGTAGAAGTGATGGTTGGATCCTGAGAGGACTTGGTCGTCGTGGTAGTACTGCTGCTGGTGCTGGTGGATTTGTCTGCAGGTGAAGATGACGGAGAAGGCAATGTAATGAATGTGGATGATGGATCAATGGCCGTCTTGGATGCAGCGTCAGTAGTAGTAGTTCCATCACTAGGTCCCTTTGAAGAGCTCTCAGTTGGAGTTGGAAGCAGGATGGCAGGAGTAGTAGTCGTAGCAGTAGCAGACGGGTCCGCATTGTCAGTCTTCTGCGAGGTTGTCGAAGTAGCAGTAGGGACGGAAGTCACGGTTGTCTTGGTAGCACTGGAAACAGAGGAGGTGGGTTGAATGGGCTTCCGAATGAATGAGGGGCCATTCCCATTGTCATCATCGTCATCGTCGTCGTCGTCATCATCGTCATCGTCGTCGTCGTCAGCACAGCCAGACACCGCAAGGCCAGTAGAAGAAGGGGAGGGCACGCAGGTAGGCAGGGTTCTGATATTGCTGGACTTGATGACAGAGACACTGGAGCTACTAGGGATTGCATCTGTGGCGCGAGCCTCTAGGCCCTTGGCGGGGCCGATGGTTGCGGTGACACCGGCACAGGGCAGCGAGATGGTGATGGTCACGGTGGCAGTGATGCCGGGGATGCTGGCGGCGCTGATGTCCCCGGGTTGGCCGGGGGCTGCGGTGGGAGCGGGCACGCTGGCTGGGGCGTTGGCGTTGTCGACGGGGTCGATGGGGGCGGAGAGGGCGGCGGAGGCGAGGGCCAGGGCCAGGATGGAGGTGCGGAGGTACATGATGGGTTGGATGTTTTGTTTTGCTTCTCTCTCTAGTATGGTTTATGGGTTGGTTTGAGTATAGAAGAAGAGAGAAAGGAGAGATAGAGAAGGGTATTCGAGGAAGAGGATGCACGATTGGTCTGGGTTGAATTATTGCAGCGAAGGAGAGAAGAGGGTTTATATAGTCATGTGAAAGGTAACGGCATGATGCTTGATAGATGTCATGGGGGTCTAGACGATGTTGTGGCTATCATGGTGACGCTGCACACCAGAGATTTAGGGTCTATGGTCACCTCACAATTGGTCTTGGTGGTTGAACTTCCCGTGTATAGGAGGTT